GCCGCCACCCCCCGCAGCACAAGGCTCAAGGACGAGCCGCGGGGCCCGATGCGACCAACATCCGCACGCTACAGTGCGTGCGCGGCGGCAAGACACCGTCGCAAGAAACCCAACCCTGAGAACCCGTGCGCGAGGTGCACTTGAGGGGAAACCTCAGGCACCCTGAACGCAGCAGCTCCTTCAACGGCTGCGGGAAGTCACCGCGCAGCGCGAGGAGCGAAGAAACCTGGGGTATCCTGACGAAAAGCATATGGTTTCTTGATGCGCGCCCCCACTGTACCCAAACGCTCATGGGCGACGTGCACTCGCCCGCTCGCCATCTCAGAAACGGGCGCGGCGCTCGGGCTGACGGCTCGGCCATGCCCGCGAGCATCCAAAGCTCATGCACGACCTCAAGCGCTGGCCATCAGCCTGGCGCACTCGCTGGAGGCCCCGCGGGTCCTGATCGACTGCATCCGTCGCAGTGGCGGCGTTGGGCGATCTGACGATGACGGTGCGCACGAACCCCCTGGATTGACTCCTCACGCGCTTAGAAGGCCACGTGCGAACCCTACCCCACCACACCATGAGTTCTAAGGGGGGAGGTGAGGCTCTGCTCTTTTCGCTCGGGACCTCCCTAGCGAAGTGAACCACACCTCCCCCCTGAGAAATCGTTAGGTGGTGGGGTAGGGTTCGCATGTGGCCTCCGAGCGCTTGCACACGTCGGGCGTAAAACGTTGAGCACATCTGCGCGCGGAGCCCTCCATCTCCCGTCCCCTCCCCTCACGTGGGGCTTACGATCCCTGCGTCGTGCCCCTGTGCCTCGGGTTGATTACCGCCCGGCCAGATGCCTCCCGGATGGGGTCCAAGCAGATGGGGTCAGAGGGTCGCGCGCATCGACAAAGCATCTCCAATGCCTCGGCAATGCCTCGGCGATGAATCGCCAACGTCGGCGACGCATCGGCGGCGCCGGCGTGGAGAAGGTCGGGCTCCGCATTGATCCACATCCCCTGATTTGAGCAGGGACCGACCGTCCCGGCATTCCTAATGTCCTACCACGAAATGTTCGTAGAACCCAAACATGTTCTAAGAACCCAAACAATGTTCTTATAATAAAAGCCTTATGTGTTCAAACAAGACAGCCCCAGCCAGGCATGCTCTAAGAACATGTCGTTGAAACCACAAAAGGCTCTTAGAACATTCTTTGGTAGGACTATTCGGCGAGCCAGGACGCTTCGCCACTGCTTCATTGATGCATCGGCCATGCCACGCGAGCCTCCCACCCCGTCTGCTTCGCGTTTGGGAGCCCAAGGCCGGCGGCGCGCGCGCCGTCGGGATGGGGCGCCTCTGGGCCGCAGCCGCTCCCGCCGTCCCCGATCTCCCCCCCATCGTCCGCCCCCATCCCGCGGGCTCACAGGGCGGTCGCTTCGCTTTTTGTCGATCTCCTCCCCCCCTTCGTGCCCCCCATCGTCCGCACCCCTCTCGCGGGCTCACAGTAGGGGAACGAAGGATGACATGAACAGAAAAACTCGGAGGTCCGCGCGGACCTCCGAGTTATTATGTTCATGTCATCTTTCGTTCCCCCACACAGGGCGGTCGCTCTTCTGGTCCTGGGCTCCTCCTCGGGTGCCGCTTTGGCGTCGGCCCCAGCCGCGGGCTAGAGCCGTCAGCGGCGTCAGAGTCAGATGCTGAGAGGATGGGGGGAGCAGAGGCAGGGGCGAGGAGAGGAGAGGAGGGGGGCGAGGGGGAGGAGGAGGGAGAACGAGAGGACAGGAGGGGGGCGAGGGGGAGGAGGAGAGGAAGGGGGCGAGGGGGAGAAGGAGGGAGAACGAGGGGATGAGGTGGGAGAGGAAGAGAAGGGTGGTGACGCTCCGCAGAGAAGTGGTTTTCCCGACACACCACCCCGTCACCCTCGAGAGGTTGGTTTGCAATCTGGCTCGTCCATCTCATCTCCTGCGAATGGTTCTTTTGCATGGCGGTGGAGGATGAGGATGATACTGAGGAAGAGGGAGGGCAGGAGAGGGAGGAGGGAAGATGGGAAAGGACAGGGATTGGAGAGGCGAGAGGGTAGAAAGACGAGGATCAGCGTAATCGGGATGATTGGTTGGTTGGATTGCGACTGAGCGACGAGTAAACGAACTGTATGACATCTTCCGTCCTATCGATCAGGTGGTGGAGGGGCGAGATGGGGACGCGGTAGGAGAGGCCAGAGGCGAAAGGGTGAGAGAGAGAGGGGGGGGGTCCTCCCGCAGAATGCCAAGCAGGAGAAGCAGAATACTGAAAGAGACAGAGGAGATGGTGACAGGGACAAGGAGGAGGAGGAGGAAGAAAGGGATCACGATGATGACTACGTATGAGGAACCAGAGCACGCAGCGGAGGAGGGCGAGAGGGAAGAGGACGTTCATGAGGAGCACGAGGAGAAGGGAGAAGAGGCAAACTTCAGGGATGAAGACACTCATTCATCACATTCGGAAGCCGTCGGCAAAGCAAAACATCGTGCTTCGGCAAGCCAAGGCAAAACATCATGCTTCGGCAAGCCAAGGTGGATGATGAGACCAGTGCAAATAATGACGATGCTGGTGGCCCTGATGATAAGGCTGAGGAGCTGGAAAATGACTACGATGACAGTGATGATGTGGAGGAGGTAACCAGAGGAGACAGGAGACAGCAGCAGCATCAGCTGGAAGCGGAGGACAGAAGGGAGGGAATAAGAGGAGGAGGAGGAGCAGTGGGGGGAAGAGGATGAGATGAGGCGAACGAGGAAGAGAACGACAATGGTCAGCACCAGCAGCGGCGGCAATAGCACCAAACGTTCCACTCTGCATTTGCGCCTCTTCCCCGGCCCATCCAGCCTGCAGTAGGTTGCACAGCATCTCTGAAGGGGCCCTGGGACACACAAATAAATACACACAAATAAAAAGGTTCCCCACATTTTCCTATATGTTCTCGGTTTTTGTCTTCCCCACCACTTCCCATATTTTCCCATATTTTCTGGGGGATCGACGATTAATTGTGTCTGTGTGTTTTTTTCCCCTCCTGAAGCATCTCATCCGAACGCGTCGCAACACATAACGGCCATCGTGCCACCACAATAAGGAGCACTGCCTCCGTAGCGCAGGGGCCTCCCTGGCAGGGAACGCTGCACGGCAAACACCTCGGCCACGACGAGGCTCCCGACCCGGACGCGAAGAGAGGCCGGAGGTCTGGAGCCCAGCAGGGGCCCAGCTCAGGAGGAGGAGGAGGAGGAGGAGGAGGAGGAGGAGAAGAGGAGGAGGAGGAGGAGGAGGAGGAGGAGGAGAGGAGGAGGAGGAGGAGGAGGAGGAGGAGGAGGAGGAGGAGGAGGACGAGGAGGAGGAGAACGTCATGGGGGACCAGGGGGGGGGGACCATCGACCTGGAGTCGGAGATGCATCGCCGACAGATCGGCGAGAAGGGCTCCCGAGGGCGACTCCGCACGCTCCTGGGCTGTCGGGCCCGATTGGCGCTCCAAGGGCGATTTGGGGGGTCGATGCGCTGCCCCCTGAGCCTACCTCCTCCTCCTCCTCCTCCTCCTCCTCCTCCTCCTCCTCCTCCTCCTCCTCCTCCTCCTAGCGTTGCGCGTGAGACGCCCTTCCCGAGCCCAACGCGGTCCTCGGCCGACCCTACTACACCCCGACCGCCTGAGGCCCTCGACGTCCTCCTCCTCGTACAGCTGCTGCAGCCTTCGGGCGGGCGGAAGAACGGAGTGGATGATCAGATGATCACACGAAGAGGAAGAGGAGGAGGAGGAGGAGGAGGAGGAGGAGGTGGAGAAGGAGGAGGAGGAGGAGGAGGAGGGGGAGGAGGCGGAAGAGGGAGGAGGGGAGGGGAGGGGAGGAGGGGGGGAGGAGGAGGAGGAGGAGGAGGGGAGGAGGAGGGGGAGGGGGAGGGGGAGGAGGAGGAGGAGGAGGAGGAGGAGGAGGAGGAGGAGGAGGAGGAGGAGGAGGAGGAGGAGGAGGGAGAGGCCCCGCGGACACTGTCTGGAGGCATACGGTGAGAGGCGACCGTTCGGTTTTTCGGCGCGAGCACGTGACCGCGCTCTTGGCGGATCCCGAGCAGTTGTTACGAGCCCGTACGCCAAATTCCTACGTAGGTGCTGCCCTGGACTGGGGCTTCCCGCTGCACGTTCTACGCTTCTCGCGTCACACCTGCTCCTGGGACAGGCTCCTCAATCTAGAACGTATGCTGGCGTATGCGGTTTCGCCCAGGCAAGGGACAGTAGCGGGCAACAACACAACGACGTCTAGAATGTGGTGAACGGAAAAAATGCCCCAAACTCTCGCAATACATGCGAATGAGCCTGGCCTTAATAGTCGGAATGTAGACATCGGCACAACTGTTGTCAACATGGGCTTCGCGCTGGCCTTCCCTAGTCGACTCCCGTTCGGAACTGCTCAATTTGCACTTCGCCATCGGAAGAATTTAACATCAGGGGCACGTGCTTCGAACCTGTGTCCAAAACCAGGCGGGATCTTGACCGCTACGCTGGCACGTTCGACGAGTCGGTTGTAAACCCGCGCCAGGGAAGCACCTTCGCACCACGAAAGCTAGAAAGCTAAGCGCAATGAACGGTGGGCGACAATTATGACGAGGTTGGGAATTGTAAACGCTTCAAGCAATCCTAAGCGAGCCAGGGCGAAGATAAGGTTCTGTTGGGTCGAGCCTGCCATGACGTAAAGAGACGAGGTGGTGGGATGGACGCACAGGGATATGCGTAAGCTCAGATCTCAGGCCGCTGTTTTTCTTGGTTGCACGAGCTGCGCGGCAGATTTGATTTGGCACTGGCGCTGGAGCCAACGAAGGACCCGATCAAGCACGCTGCTGCCACCCTGAGACTGTATCCCAAAAAGGTTTGGCAACAACTACCCCAAAGCATCGTCAAGGAGATGGGCGTTCCGTGGGTGATCGTTCGAAGGTGGTTCACGCCAGTCGGACACGCATGGAGGCACATAGGAAGATGCCCTAAGGGAACATGTCTTGGGGTCTGATTGGGGATGTGTCATGCTGAATGGAATGGGCCAAATGGGCTGTAACGGGCCCATGTATGTTCAACATGCGCATCGGGGACCCGCTTATGCTGACCGACACGCTCTAAACCCAAGTCGTGAACTAATGCACCCGAGATCTCACACTCAAACATGTTCACACACGCATGGGTAACTAATTTGCAGGATTCTGATCACCCCAGGGGCCCAGAGATCCTGTAGGGGGGGTTGTGGTCGGAACCTCCGAAGAGTTTCTAGTCCAGAGCAGATGGTGTGTCGCTCGTATGTGACTGCGAAAAGGCTGTACGACTGGAAGCATGAGATCTCTCACATATGCCTTTGTTGCCGCTCGCCCGAGGAAGGATCCGTCGACCCAGTCTGGCACCGATGCTTTGTGTTGCCCTGGCTTGGCCGATAGGCGCGTGGAGCACCTGAGTGCCGAGTTGATCCAGCAGGCCATCGAAGCGGCCGAGGAACATGTGTTCTACAGCAGTCTGCGGTATCCTGTTCCGGCAGATCTCATCCCAGCTGCGTGGGACGGGCAAATTTGCTACGTTGATAGGTCGGGGAGGGGGCATTTCGATATTCAATTTCAAAAAATTATCCTGGCGAAGGGCCCAACCATACGCAATTCCGAATGCCGCCGTTGTAAGTATCGTCGTTGGTGGAACACCCGATGGGGCCACGAAGCGTGTGAGAGGTGCGCCAAATGGAGGTGGAACTGCATGCGGACCCTGCCACTGGGGCCTTCGGTGGAGCACCCTGTGGGGCCGCGAAACGTGTGAGGGGTGCGCCGAAATGGAGGTGGAACTGCATGCGGACCCTGCCATTGGCGCCCTCGGTGGAGCTCCCTATGGGGCCGCGAAACGTGTGAGGGGTGCGCCGAAATGGAGGTGGAACTGCATGCGGACCCTGCCACTTGGGCCTTAGGCGGAGCTCTCTATGGGGCCACGAAACGTGTGAGGGGTGTGCCGAAATGGAGGTGGAACTGCATGCGGACCGTGCCACTTGGGCCTTAGGCGGGGCTCCCTATGACGCCACGAAACGTGTGAGGGGTGCGCCGAAATGGAAGTGGAACTGCATGCGGACCCTGCCACTTAGGCCTTAGGCGGAGCTCCCTATGGGGCCACGAAACGTGTGAGGGGTGCGCCGAAATGGAGGTGGAACTGCATGCGGACCCTGCCACTGGGGCCTCAGGTGGAGCTCCCTATGGGGCCACGAAGCGTGTGAGGGGTGCGCCGAAATGGAGGTGGAACCGCATGCGGACCCTGACACTTGGGCCTTCGGTGGAGCTCCCTATGGGGCCACGAAACGTGTGAGGGGTGCGCCGAAATGGAGGTGGAACCGCATGCGGACCCTGACACTTGGGCCTTCGGTGGAGCTCCCTATGGGGCCACGAAACGTGTGAGGGGTGCGCCGAAATGGAGGTGGAACCGCATGCGGACCCTGACACTTGGGCCTTCGGTGGAGCTCCCTATGGGGCCACGAAACGTGTGAGGGGTGCGCCGAAATGGAGGTGGAACCGCATGCGGACCCTGACACTGGGGCCTTCGGTGGAGCTCCCTATGGGGCCACGAAACGTGTGAGGGGTGCGCCGAAATGGAGGTGGAACCGCATGCGGACCCTGACACTTGGGCCTTCGGTGGAGCTCCCTATGGGGCCACGAAACGTGTGAGGGGTGCGCCGAAATGGAGGTGGAACCGCATGCGGACCCTGACACTTGGGCCTTCGGTGGAGCTCCCTATGGGGCCACGAAACGTGTGAGGGGTGCGACGAAATGGAGGTGGAACCGCATGCGGACCCTGACACTTGGGCCTTCGGTGGAGCTCACTATGCGCCGACCGCATGCGGAACGTGTGAGGGGTGCGCCGAAATGGAGGTGGAACCGCATGCGGACCTTGCCACTGGGGCCTTCGGTGGAGCTCACTATGGGTCCACGAAACGTGTGGCCATGATGGAGACGGCGATGATGATGACGACGATGGTGATAAGAACGATGATGATGATGATGCTGATGATGACGGTGACGATGACGATGATGATGCTGATGATGAAAGGAGGAGGAGGAGAAGGAGGGGGAGGAGGAGGAGAGGAGGAGAGACGCGGGGCACCGTCTCTTCAAAACGAGGACCCAAAACCACAGGATGGTTGGGAAAAACACGATAGGTTCAAATCGACAGGGATGAAGATTTCGTTCGGAGTATGTTCGGAGACCTTCCTGGATTGATGTGCTTGCCGAACACTGTGGGTTGCTCCAGACCCTCGGACATTTTAATCTTGAGGATCAGCCTGAGGATTTCTGAGTGAATATCGATAACGCTGCCGTCTTTGCAGGATCAGCAGACTCCAAGTCTGCTGCGAATGAACGTTCGCCAACTCACGGAGATGTGGAACGTCATCTTCTCCCGAGGGTGTCCGCCATGGCACCTCATGAAAACGACATATCATGTGGACGATGCTGTTTCCAGTATGCTGCGTCTACATAAGCATGACAATTGCCGGGCTGACGGATCTGCTAACGGCGGTGCTAAACTTCACCAGGGCATGGCCCACAATTGTGAAATTCTGAGTAGTTGGCATCCCGTAGCTTTCGGTATGGTCCAGATTTTGAAAAGAACTCCCGACAGAGTAAAAAACTGTTCTGGAAATTGGAGCGCCAACGCCGTGCCCCCCACCGCCCCCTCTGGCCCTCTGTGGCAGCCGTACGCCAAACCGTGTGCGTTTGGGCGCCGACTGCGGTGCCTGGGCTGCGCTCGATGGTGTGATTATCGCACTCCTACAGGATATTGTGCAATTTGACTGCCGGCATGGAACAATTGAAAGCTGAACCTTGGCCGAGGGGACTTACGGTTTCCTCCCCCTGTCCGCTAAGACTTGCGCCTCATGAGGAGGCGGAATGGTGGCACAGGCTGACTTCATCGTTTAGTTTCGCCGGGTTTGGGGGTTGGCGACTGGCGATCTTGGCACGTGGGCTGGCCATTCGCCCTTTCAGGGGGGAGGGTGCCAGCCCTTGCGAGCTGGTGGCGAGCTGGTGGCCATGTCGCTTCCCCCAGAGGCCCGAAAGAGAACGGGGATGGGCGGGAGGAAGGACGGAGTAGGAGGGGGAGAAAGGGGAAGGAGAGTAGAGGGAAGGGGCGAGGGGCGGGAACGGAGGAATAGAAACAACGAATGAAGGAATGAGGAAGGAGGGGGCGAGAGTAAGAGGATAAAGACGAGCGGGAAGAAGCAGATAATTTGTTATGTCACGCCTGGTGATGCATTTCGCGACAAAATGATTGCCACATGAATCGACATGTGGCACAGATCCAACTCCCATCGATACCAAGCAAGCCTCCAGCCTCCACTGAGAAAAGCGTCCCTATCCCAATAACACCGCTGCACTCACGACCCCTAAGGGAGCACGCAAAAGAGTAAATGACATCACAGAAAAACGGCGACAGATCCCGCGACGCACATGCCTACCTGGGCACAGACACATTCGAGAGCGGGCCTTGCCCATCATTGAAAATGGGTGACACCCTGAATAGGGTAATTACCAATACTCTTGAAGGGGAACTGGGGCACACAAATAAATACACACAAATAAAAAGATTCCCCATATTTTCCTATATTTTCTGGGTTTTTGTCTTCCCCCCCATTTCCCATATTTCCCCATATTTTCTGGGAATCGCCTATTAATTGTGTCTGTGTGTTTTTTCCCCTCCTGAACTCTGCTCATCACAGATCCCGGGCTCCGTCGGCTACGGAATCCCTGACCGTGCCCCGAGGCAAGAAGTGGAGTGTCTGGGGGGCAGAAACTCCGCCCGCATGATAAGCACCCCGACCAGCGAAGCCGTTCCGCAAGCGCACCCTAAGGAATCGTAGCGATCAAGGCTGTTTCATACACGCCCAGGGCTGTTTAGTAAACGCCATTTCTCGGGGTATAGGTGGTTTGTCTCGGGAAGCTTCTGACCAGGGTCAATCCAGACCCGGGTCAGTCAGGCCTTGCACGATCCTGCACGATCCTGCAGGATCCTGCAGGATCCTGCACCCAAACCTGGGTCAGTGCGCCCCTGGCTCTGCAGGATCCTGCAAGCTCCGGCGCTCTGTTTGACCCCCGTCTGGACTGACCCCGGTCTCTCGGGCCCCGCTGTTCCTCCGTTGGGTGTCGTCTGGTCCCTTCGCGTCCCCCACGCTGAATGGTCGGCAGAGAGGGGGTCCCTCCTCCTCCTCCTCCTCCTCCTCCTCCTCCTCCTCCTCCTCGAGGGGGCCCCGAGCCACGAGTGTGCCAGACGCTCGTGGGCGCTCTTCTGGGGCTCACGCCTCGTGCCCCCCCACGGGAGGTGAGGAGGCGAGAGGGCCACGAGAGCCCCAGCGGGGCCCCGAAGATGCTCCAATGGGGGGGCCCCGAGGCGGCACGAGGACTCTCGAGCATGCCCAGGGCTCCAAGAGGGCTCCAGGAGGCTCCCCCAAGGGCCCCAAGGGGCTCCCATCGAAAATGGCCCCTTGGCTCTGGACAGATTTCAGCGGCATCGTCTTTTCAGACGCCTGACGCTCCAGGACGGACCATAGGCCCCCAAGATCGCCCCAAGACGGCCCCCAGAAGGCCCGCAAGGCGGCCCAAGAGGGCTTCTAACTCAAATCAAGAAGCTCAAAAGAAGCCCCATGAGGCCCAAGGCTTCTAACTCAATCTAACTCAACTCAAATGAAGAGGGCCCGCAAGGCCGCCCAAGAGGGCCTCAAGCTCAAACAGGGCCCAGATGATAATGAATTGAAAACTGCACCTCTGGGCACACTCCGTTCCATTTCGCAGAGTGCTGCTTCTAGGGGGGCGCGCCCAGGGGGGAAGTGAGGCGGGGCGGGCCTTTTCGGAAGGCCCGGAAGTCCCCAAGCCTTCTGAGAAGTTTTCTCTAAGCCCTCCCCGAAGACACTCAGACCCCCCCCCACATACACACACACACACAAACAACAAAAAAAAGAACCACCTCTCCAAAGGCGCGATGAATGCTGAGCAGTCCCGCCGCCTTCTGAGCAGGCCTTTTCCTTCTCACTTCTCCCCTCGTTCGCCGCCGAGTTCCGTGTTCGGGCCATGACTCGGGTCTCGGGCGGCGCTTCGGGACGATCTGGGCATCCCCGGAACGCTCTGGGCGAGGCGCAGCCGCTGGAACGCATCCCGAGGGCGGATGGCCGCCAAGAAGCTACGAAAACGCCAGAGGCTACGGACTCGCTCGCCGCCGATCTTCCTTCGCCACTCTCACCCGGGGACCTGGCCGCGCGCAAGAGACCCAAACGGTGCGCTCACACAGCGCCGCGCACTCTGGTGTTCTGGGAATACGTCCGCTCCCGCCCGTACGCGGCCCAGTGAACCTCCCACTCTCGGCAGCGAGCGAGGGTGGGGGGGAGTGAGAAGGAGAAGGCCTTCACTCCTTCAGCTCCTCCTCCAACTCCTCCTCCTCCTCCTGCTCCTCCTGCTCCTCCTCCTCCTCCTCGTCCTCGTTTTCCTCCTGCTTCTCAGAAGCCCTCGCGCCTCATGAGAGGCGTTTTGTTGTGCGTCTTCGGGGAAGGCTTAGGCCAACCTCTCAGAAGGCTTGGGGACGTCCGAGCCTTCTGAGAAGGCACGCCCCTGGGTGTTCCCCCCCTCGCTCGCCGCCGATACTCGCCACCTCGTGAGAACCGGGATAGCGCGCGAACCCCTTCCGTTTGCTGGGTGGGAGAGCGCGCCAGTCCCAATAGCAGACCTCGCCAGCATTGGTTCTTATGGTCGGGCACTTTTGCTTAGCGCATCGCCGCGGTGGCCCGTGCGATACGGTACGCTCTGCAAACGGATAGCGTGTCGCTCCACTCCGCTCCGCGGGAGGCTCGGGAAAGCCCGTGCGGTGCCAGCTGACTCGTTCGACATGGCGAATTTGACTCCGTATCCTTTCCCTCCTCCCCTTCCTTCTCTTCCTCGGCAGGAGTCACGTATAAAAGCGGCAAGAGCAATCGGAGGAAGACAAAGAAGGAGAGGAAGAGAAGGAGGAGGAGGAGGCGGGGAACGAGGACGAGGGGTGTGAAGAGGTGATACAAAGAGAGACACGATGGTGGCGGAGGAGGCCGAGGCAGAAGAAGAGAAGCAGCAGACCAGCGGAGGGAAGACGACGTTACCACCACCACCACGACAAGACAAGGGCGACAGCGACGACACCAACGACCGCGACGACGCCGACGACGGCGCAAACGACCACGGCGACAGCAACGGGCGACGACGACGACCTCGAAGATCACGACCGCGGCGACGCATCCGACGGCGATGGCGCAGGCGTGCCGGCCAGGCCCGCAGAACCACAACGACCTCCACGCCCACGACGGCCGCGACGACGGCACCAACCACCGCGACCACGACCACGACGACGAGGGCAGCAACAACGACGCCGACGCCGACGACGACACCGCCCGCGGCGGCCGGCGGCTGCAGGTGGCGGCGCCCGCGGCGGCGGCCAGCCCGCCGGCCGCCCAGGCGCCTCAGGGCGGTCTTCTGCCCGAGCGCGCCGCGGCAGGCCGAGAGCAGCTCCGGCGCCTGGGGGTCCGCCGGCAGCTGCCCAGGGCCCGCCTGCGGGGCGGCGGCAGGGGGGGGGGAGGGGAGGGGGAGGGAGTGAGAGAGGGAGGCAGGCGGAGGCAAGAGCAGGAAGGGAGGGAGGGAGGGGAGGGGAGGGAGGAGGGAGGAAGGAGCTGAGGGGAGGGAGATAGGGAGGAGGAGGCAGGAGGAGGAGGATGAGGGAGGGAGGGAGGGAGGGAGGGAGGGAGGGGAAGGGAGGAGGGAGGGGGGAGGAGGGAGGAGGAGGCAGGAGGAGGAGGAGGAGGGAACTCGCTGGGAACCACTACTACGTCGTGGCGAACTCACTGGGGGGGAGATCCAGGCGGGCCGCCTGCGGAGGCGAGGGGGGAGGAGTGCTGGTTCTCCCTTCGCGACGGCCCTGCGTGCCTGGACGACCAGGCCTGAACCACCCTAGCCAAGACAACCTGGCCTCAGAGAAGGACGGACCACCGCCGCCCCATGCCGTCCGCCACTCGAGTGGGAGACGGAGGAGTGCCGAGGAGGCGGGAGGCGCACAGCCGTTGACGCTGGCCTCCGCGACGACGTCGAGAGGCGGCGGCGGAGATGGCGCTGCGGCGCGGCCGCCGCCGTCGAGGCGGACGGCGACGAGCGGCGAGCGACGGCGGAGACGGCGCAGAGGACGAGGGAGAGGACGAGGATGACAACGAGAACCACAGACAATGAGAGACGACGACGACGACGACGACGACGACGACGACGACGACGACGACGACGACGACGACGGAGGCGGCGGCGGCGACGACGCCACGCCACCGTCACCGTCGCCGTCAACGTCGTCGCCGTCAACGTCATCGTCGTCGCTCGTCATTCTGCGCTCGTCATGTGTGGTTCCTTAGTGGAGTTCAAAGTCGTGATTCGTCGGTCGTCGGTCGTCCAACCGATGTCGTTGTCGTCAATGTCGAGTTCGTTGAAGCCGTCCTTGCCGTCCTTGTCGTTAATCCCAACCCGCGAATAATGAAGCATTCCCTCCCCCTGAACCCCTTATATCTGTGCATCCACGGGGTTGAATATGGTTTCGAATTGCCACAGCAGGCGGGGAGGTCGAACCCAGTATCCCCCCCAAGTTCCTATCGTAGCTCGGACCTTCATATCATGCATAGCACCATGAATAGTCCTTATTATCATTTATGTGAGGATGTCTTGGGGGAAACGCATGATTTCGAAGATTAGCAAAAATTCGCGAATATCAATACGTCGATGAATTATCTAGCAACACGCTGGTTTTTGTAAAACGCACTGTCGCGAACATGCCATTTGTGTGAGGATGTCTCAGGCGCAATGCACATGTTAGAAGATTCGCTGAGTTCGCGACTACGTATCAGCTTTCCGAGGGTGTCTCAAGCAAAACGCTAAATGTCACCATCCCCTCCCCTTCCTCTTTCCCCGCTGCTGATCGCGGCTCAAGCCGTTTCGGAGTCCAAGCGGTTGGCGAGCTCTTACAGAGCTTTCCCCAGGTACCTGCTCTTCCCACATCTCCAACGAGGCCGTCTAGAAGGCAAATTGAGGCTCTTGAAGACCAATCTTGAAGATCGATCCAAACATCCTAACATCGATATCTCTGGAAAAAGGTGATGATCATGCCTGGACCCCGAACTGTAACATCTCCACTGGATGATTATCATAATCATCTGGTTAGTCATTCGTCTTTCGTCGTCCGTCGATCGTGGATTGTAGTCGTCGTGCTCGTCATCGTCCTGCTCCTCCTCCTTCTCCCTGTCATCGTCCTCCAAAGGAGCCATTGGGGGTGGGGGGGAACGGGGGGAATGGAAGATAGAGGAGAGGGAAATGACGATGGAGGATAGCAAGAAGCGGGAGCAGGAGGGGGAGGATTGGAGTTGTCCCTCCAGAGCTCGGAGACCTCATGCGTGACCGCCTCTTCGCTGGGGCATACGAGCCTGAGCGGCAGCATGCGCGGCCCCGCGAACATCCCTCCGAGAGGAAGGGAAAGAAGGAAGAGGAGAAACGAGCGCGCGACTAGAACACGAACCTCCCGATGATAGAATCGTGAGGTCATCTCGGGGCCCCTTGGGCTGTCGGAGGAGCTGCGTCGGGGCCTCTTGCGTCCTCTTCAGTCATCTCTGGAGGTTCCTGGGACTCACTCAGACCGCCGTGGAGGATTCCATGTCCTCTGCGGATGGGAGGCTCCTGGGGCCTTCGAAGCGCGCTCGGGGGGCGCACTCGGAGCACTGACGCGTCCTGCAAGCAAGGAGTCCAGCTTTGTGGATGTAGATGGCGTCGGGCTCCAGTTTCGCTTCCCAGACCTAGCCAAAGCCCGCTGACATTGCTCGTCCATCTCGCACGCGCTGGCGCCAGCGTTGCGACCAGAAGGAGGTTAGCTATCCCGAACGCTTTTGGGCGAACATTGCGGCATGTATTCCATCATCCCACTGTAAGTAAGTCACGCACCTCCGCGAACAAGGACAGCATTTGGCGCCATTGCCCGCCTTGCTCGCACTTTTTTACAAGCGAGAAGACTGCCCAGCGGCGGAGAAAGCGGACGAGCGAGGAGAAGGGAAGGGGGTGCGGCGGGCGCGCGGCCCGCTCCTGCACCCGCGGCGGCGCCGCCAATTAAGCGAATTAGCCTACCGCCTCCGGCGCCCCGGGGCGCGCGGCGAGCCGCGCCCGCAGCGCCAACCGCCAGTCGGCCTCCGCGCCTCCGGCGCGGGCCCGCCTTGCTGGCACATGCTGGCTGTCGTCCCGTACACCGGGAAGCCGCATCTCAATTTCTCAAACGCCTGATCCTGAGCATGCTCAGAGCCTGTTGCCACTGAGTCCGGCGCTGCAGCCCATGACGTCGAGCTCCAGCGTCGGGCTGCAGCCTCGCCTGGCAGCGCCAGAGCCCCCTGCCACTGCTCGCTTTTCTCGCACGCACTGATTCGGGAGCGGCCAAGAGGGGGGTGTCCAAGAGAGGGGGGGTGCAAATCATGGCCGGCGGCATGTGCGCGGCCCAGGGGGAGGGCCAGGGACGTGTTGAAATAAGAAGAGGGGCCATGAAATCTGTGGAAATATCATGACCCCCGCCATGATATGCCCCCCCCTAGTCATCACCCCCCTCTTTGCCGCCCCCGACTGATCGTTGGGACCCAGGTTCGCCTCCCGCATCCTGCTGAGCAGCGCCAAGGCCTGCTGCCACTGCTCGGCCCTCTCGCACGCGCTGATCCCAGCACTGGAGCTGACTGGTGCGTACCCGTTGGCTACATTGATGTCGGGCGTGTCCCCCTACAGGGGGATTTTCGACGAAAAAGTAAAATACCCCCAAAATACACCAAAAAGGTCAAAAAATACACCAAGAATAGTCCCCAGACTATTTTTTGATGATGTTTTGACTATTTTGGGGGTACTTTGTATTTTTCGTCGAAAATCCCCCTGTAGGGGGACAGGCCCGACTTAAGACTGCATCCACGGCATGCTGAATCTGCGTCTCGACCACCGTGGATTTGATCCACAGGACAGATCGTCGAAGCCGAACAGCTCGTCGAAGCTCCGGAGCTCCATGAAGCGTCCAAGAGGGTCCCCGATACAGCAGAAGTTTCGCAAAACAGCGTGTCCCACCAGGAAGCGGTTTCCGTCAAAATTTCTTGTAATTTTGGGGCCCCGGGCTGCCTTGGAGTCCTCTTCACTCCCCTTGCGTACTCCCTGCGAGCCTCTCCGTTGTTCCCCTGGTACTTCAAGTATAACCGACGCTCATCAGAACAACACATCCACATAAGCGGATTCTCTTGTATTTATCTCAATCTTGAGGTCCTCTCGGAAACCTGTTGAACACCCCTTGGGGCTCCCTGCGAGCCTCTCCCGTGACCGAAGACGCGCCCAAGAGGCCCCCAAACTCAACACACACACACACACACATGTAACACAACAGCGTGTCCAATCCCGAAGCGGTTTCTGTTAGTGTATGTTTGATCTCATCTCATCTTGGAGCCCTCTTCGGGGTTTCCCCGGAACTTGTATGGTGCCTCGGGGGGCCATCTCGGACATTTGTGGGCGTCTCTTGGGTCGTCTTTGGGGCTTCGTGGGCCGTTTTGCGGCCGTGTGGGTGTCCAGGACCGTCTCGGAGCCCGCTCTCGTGGGCCGGCGCTCTTGGGCCGTCTTGGAGCTCTCTGCGACGAAACCGGCTTGCAGCCCCAGGGATGCTGCTGCTCTGGTGTCCAGGGGGGGGGGCCTCCCTGCAGGGTGTGCGCACCAGCTGCGGGCCGGGCGAAAGGGGGGGATAGCAAAGGTGGGGGTTGAGATCGCGTAGCTGATTTTCCCGCCTCCCGGCGCCGGAGGCGGCTCCTCCTCCTCCTCCTCCTCCTCCTCCTCCCTCCTCTCCTCCTCCTCCTCCTCCTCCTCCTCCCCCCCTTTCGTCCGGCCCGACAGCTGCGGGCTGCGGGGCCCGGTGGGCCTGGCGTTGCAGAACTGGGCCTGGCCGCGCGAGGGGGCTCCTCGCCAGACCCGCACCCGGCGCAGCATAGGGCCAGGGCCCTGCCGGGCGGAGGGCCGCTGTGCCCGGTGCCGGGGGGGCACCCCTGCTGCCGGTGCCGGCCCTGCCCCGGCGGAAGCCCTGCGACGGCTCTCGGCGCACTCACTCGGCGCACTCGGCGCGCAGAGCCTCTTCCACGGAGCCGCCTCCAGTGAAGGGGCCCCAGGACACACAAATAAGTACACACAAAAAACAAGATTCCCCATATTCTCCTGCTCGCGGGCGGAGGTCGCAGCCCCTGGCCGCCGACCCGTGGCGGCGGCCAGACGGCGCGGGACTCGCGCCCTCTGAGGGCGCGTCCTCCACGGGGTGCCCAGGCGGCTGCTCAAGAGCTCGTGTGCCGAGCGTGCCTCTGCGGGTGCCCCGAGCACCCTCGGGAGAGCACGGCCTTCCCCGCACCCCCGAGGCTCTGGCGCCGATCCACTGGCTCGTTCCCACCGCTCCGTGGCCCCGCGGAGAGGTGCGGTTGCTTCAGCAGCGTCCGCTCGGGGGGGGTGGATTCTTCGTTTCCCCGGTGCTGGCCGCCGCACGGAAAGACAGGCGCCGGGCGCTTCTGTGCTCCATCCAGAATCAAGAACTGAGTGGGGGGAGAAGGATGGAGAGAAGGGCCACGGAAATGGCTAAGTCGCCAAGCGACAGAAAGAGGTCGGGAGATGGAAGGCGGCTAGAACACGAATATCCCGATGACGGAATATTGGGATAATCTCGGGGCCTCATGGGCCGTCGTAAGAGCTGATTCGGGCCCTCTTGCATCGTCTTGACACATCTCTGGAGGTTCCCGGGACTCACTGAGACCGCCTTCGAGGATTTCATGTCCCCTGCGGAAGGGACACTCCTGGGGCCTTCGAAACGCGCTCGGGGGGCGCACTCGGAGCACAGACACGTCCTGCACGCAAAACATCCAGCTTCGTAGATGCAGATGGCGTCGGGCTTCAGCTTCGCTTCCCGCTTAGCAGCGCCGAAGCCCGCTGCCGCTGCTCGTCCATCTCGCACGCGCTGGCGCCAGAGTTACAAGCCGACAAGTTTCGCTGTCCCGAACGTGGTTGGGCAAACACTGTGGCATGGATTCCATCATTCCACTGTAAGTAAGTCACGCACCTCCGCTAACAATGACAGCACTTGGCTCAATTGCCCGCCTTGCTCACACATGCTGGCTGTAATTCCGTAAACCATGGAATCCGCGTCCAACTTTCTTAAACGCATGCTTCTGAGCATGTTCAGAGCTTGTTGCCACTGGCCGCCCTTCTCGCACGCGTTGACCCTGGCAAAGTAGCTGATGGCGTCGGGCTCCGGCTTCCAACATCTCGCCCAGCAGCGCCAGAGCCAGCTGCTAGTGCTCGCTTTTCTCGCACGCGCTGATCCCAGCGCTGTAACTGATGACGTTGGGCTCCAGATTCGCCCCCCGCATCCTGCTGAGCAGCGCCAAAGCCTGCTGCCACTGCTCGCCCTTCTCGCACGCGCTGATCCCAGCACTGTAGCTGACTAGCGCTGACCCATGGACTACGTCGACTTGCGAGGGCAATGGGTGGTGCTGCCAGGCGCATTCGACAAGACTGTGGCCCATGATCGCTTTCCTCATGTCGGTGCGACTAATTGCCCGTCGCGCCTGGCCAGCGGGTGGGGGAGGGGACATAGAAGGATGAGAGGCCAGCTGATTCTTTTTGGACGAGCTGTTGGTTATTGGCTCAACACTTGAGGGGGCTTTTCGTCCAATTGCCTCCGAAGGTGATCGGAGGCCAGGCAGCTGCTGCTGGAGCGGGCGTGATCTATTTTTGGTGCGCTGGGATCGCAGTTCGGCGGTGGACAAACCTCCCTTTAGCAACCCTCCCTTCAGTGAAAACGGCCTGGGACCGAGACCGACGGACCTGGACCCGCACAGATGACGGCCGCGACGCCCTCTCGCGAACCGAAAGCGACCAATCCCTCACTCGACGTGTCAGGGCAGGAGGCCTGCCCACCTCCGAAGCCGCTGCGGGAGCGGGCGGCGATCTGCCCCATTGGCGCGCTGGGATCGCGGCCTCGCCTCCCGGGGGGTCGCTGGGCCGCGGTGGGGCCCGCCAGGGCCGGCGTCCGCCTCTTTTGCTGCTGCCCCGCCTCCGCCGCTGGGACGCGGCTGGACCGCGGGGGGCCATACACCCCGCGAAATGGTTAAGAAATCATGGGTGAAGAAATTCATGGTCTCAGAACTTGAACAAAAACCCAAGATTTCCATCAAAGTCTTAAGATTTACATTGAAACGTTAAGAATAATCGAGACTCTGGCCGAAAATTTGGGCTTTCTTAAGCATCGCCTAAGGTGTACATCGCGTCGAGGCACTGCCAGAAGGAGCGCCAACACAAGGAACACAGGGGCGTTTTCCTCTGGCCACGGGTGGGCCGGGGCCACGAGCCCGTCCCGCGAGACAGATCTGAGAAACGATGGAGGAGGAGGAGGAGGAGGAGGAGGAGGAGGAGGAGGAGGGGGAGGAGGAGGAGGAGGAGGAGGAGGAGGAGGGGGAGGGGGAGGAGGAGGAGGAGGAGGAGGAGGAGGAGGAGGAGGACCCTTCCGAGCCCACAGCGGTCCTTCTTTCGGCGCCCTGGCGGTGTTGAGGGCGGAGGCCGCGTGTCCACTCGTGACCGCGGGCGGGCTGCGGACAGAATGTCACGCGCGGCCGGCGCCAATCCGGCTCTCTTTTGAGGCTAACAAGGGGCGGATCGGGGCCTCTCGAGAGGGCCTCCCGGGAGCCCTCGGAGGCATACTGGGGACCACGAGCCCCTCGCTGTCGCTCCTGAGGCCTCGTTCGGTTCTTCTGGGGTCCGTCTTCGCGACTTCTTCGAGCCTCCTTGGGCCTCCCTGAAGCCGTACTGGCGCCCTCTTGGGCCATCTGGGGGTCTTCTTGGGATGTCTTGGGGCCCATTCAGGGCCTCCTGGGCCGTCTAGGGCCGATAAGAAATCCCCTGAGGCCGTCTTGAGTCTTGAGCGGTCAAGAATCCGAAGAGGCGAACAAGCTGAAATCCTCCAACAACGAGCGGAAATCTGGGATTTGAGCTTCGTAAGCCTCTTTCAGGGTTCCCTTCGGGTCTCTCCTCAGGCGGATTGGGGCCTTTTGGGGGTCTCCAAGGAACTGTCAAAGGCACGTTTGGGGTCTCGGGCCTCTCCTGGCCCCCCTGGGGCGTCATTGACGCCCAAGAGGCGGGTGAACGAAAACCCGTCAAAATCCTACGGAAATTCGTTGAATGTTGCCTCTCCAGACCTTCTTGGGGGTCTGCTTGAGGCTCTCCTGGCTCGGATTTGGAACTCGTGGGGGCCTCCTTTCGGGAGCGGCCAAGAGGGGGGTGTCCAAGAGGGGGGGGGGTGCAAATCATGACCGGCGGCATGTGCGCGGCCCAGCGGGGGGGCCAGGGACGTATTGAAATAAGACGAGGCGCCATGACATCTGGGGAAATATCATGGCCCACGCCATGATATCCACTCCCCCTAGTCATCACCCCCCTCTTTGCCGTCCCCGATCCTTGGAGCCCTCAGAAGCATGCTGTGGGTCCCGGGACCCGTTTGGCCCCTCCTGGCGCCTCGTCGGGGCCGTCTCGGGGCCCCGCTGGCGGCCTCTTGGAATCTCCGTGGGGCTCTCGAAGCCCGTCTTGGCGCCCTCTTGGGCCGTCTTCGGGTCCTCTTGGGCCGTCTTTGGGCGGTCTCTGGAGTCTCTTTGTCGGGAAACGAACTCTATACACCGACGCGTTTCCCGAGCCTGCGCTGAAATTCGCACAGGAATGCGGATTCTGGTGTATTACGGGATCCTGGCGTATACATTCTTCGATGTTTCCCCAGGAAAGCGGGGAAAAAATGTACACCACACCACCCCGACGCCGTCCCCGACCATCAAAAAAGCCCTGGGATTGAAAAACCGCCCGCCACTGGTAATGTATACGTTCTAGTTTCCCACTCGGGCCCTCACGGGCCACTGTGGAAGGCCCCTGTCGCCGCCTTGGGCAGTCGGGAACCCCAAAAGGCGATCAGCCTAAAATCCTCGAAAAACCAATGCAAAATGACTCGCGTTACATCGTGAGGCTCTCCCAGGAGTCGTCTGGGAGCGCTCTTGGCGGCTTCTTCGGTCGTCTCGAGGCCATCTTGGACAGTCTTGGAGCCCTATCGGGTCGTCTTGGGCCCCTCCTGAGCGTCCTAGAGCCGTGTTCGGGCAATATGAGGCCGCCTTGGGGCACTCCAAAGCTCTCAGGACGGCCAAGGGGGTCCTGCTGATATTTGAGAGAGCGCGATCCACCGCCGCTTTACTCTGGAAAATCCCACCAGTCCTCTGGGCGTAGGTGGTTTAGGGAGTTTCCTCTTCCACCCCTCCTTCTTCCCCTTCGGGGAGGGGTTTATCACTGTTCCCTATTGATAAACACACCCTCCCCAGGCGACTGGGGGCCAACCAGGGTCCATGACAACACCCCCCCACCATCCCGAGTAAAAAACAATACAAAACACACTCTGCCTTCAAATTCGGAGCATGCGCAGCCAACCCGATGCGCCCCCCCCACACCATCCCTGTCAAAAAACAATACAGGGTACACTTGGCGGCGGCGGCGGCTGCGGCGGCTGCGGCGGCGGTGGCGGCGGCTGCTGCGGCTGCGGCGGCGGCGGCGGCTGCTGCGGGGGCGGCGGCGGCGGCGGCGGCGGCGGCGGCGGCTGCGGCGGCGGCGGCGGCGGCGGCGGTGGCGGCAGCGGCTGCGGCGGCGGCGGCGGTTTGGCAGCGGGGGGCGGCGGCGGTGGCGGTGGCGGCGGCGGCGGCGGCGGCGGTGGCGGCGGATTGGCCCCCAGTAGCTGCCCATCCAAAGACCACTGCTGAATATGCTGAGGCTCGGGCCAGACTCGGGTGCTACGTATGTGTTGTGAGGGTGGGAGTGAGCGAGACGGCTTGCGGGCGGGGAGGGAGTCTTGACCCCTCCCCCTACCCTCTCCCCTGGACCTGGACGGGGGGGGGCCGCTGGTCGGCAGAGCGTCCAAGATGGCCTCGGCGAGGAAGCCAAAATCATTGATGTTACTAAGGTTTTGGCACCATTTTGGCCTCCTGGGGGGGCGACGCTAATTCCCACCCCCTGTTCTTAGATAGATCTCCTCCAAGATGGCCACAAGAAGCGCCCAGGAGGCCCCAAGAGGTCCCAAGATGGCCCCAAGATGGCCCCAAGAGGCCCCCAGAAGGCCCCCAAGAGACCCCCAAGAGGCCCCAAAAGTCCCCCAAGAGTCCCCAAGAGGCTCCTCGAGATACGCAAGAGGCCCCCAGGACGCCAAGAGGCCCCAAAGACGGCCCAAGAGGACCCCAAGCTCGCCATTGTCCTCCTCCTCCTCCTCCTCCTCCTCCTCCTCCTCCTCCTCTTTTTCTTCCTCCCCACTCCTCTCCCTCCCTCACCTCCTCCTCCTCCTCCTCCTCCTTCTCCTCTTTCTCCTGCTGCTCCTTCTCGTCCTCCACGTCCTCGCCCTCGTCCATCTCCTTCTCCTCATCTTCCTCCTCCTCCTCCTCCCCCTCCTCCTCCTGCTCCTCCTCCTGCTCCTCCTCTTCCTCCTCCTACTTCGACGACGACGACGACGACTCCTCCTACATCATCCCCCTCTTGGGGCATATGCGGCTTACCCCGCCCTTTGTTCTTCTGCATGCTCCCCCGCTTCACTCATCACCTCCACCCCCCTGGGGCTCATTTCTGGACGGGCTGGTGGGGATACGCGAAGCGTTTAGAATTCCCCCCCTCTTCCTCCGTAGCCCAGGGGTCCTCCCCCTCATTCGATACCCCCCCCCCCCCCCCGCTGACCCCCCCCACCTTCCCCCGCCCCCCCCCTCCCTCTACCCCCCCACTCCCCCCCGGAAAACCGGCAGAGGGTCACTACCGGTTCGGACCCCCCCCGGGGCCCACTCGGAAAACCAGGGGGGGGTCACTACCCGTTCGAACCCCGCCCTCCGGAAAACTGGAGGGGGTCACCCGGAAAACCCGGGGGGTCACTACCGGTTCGACCCCCCCCCCTTCCGGAAAACTCGGGGGGGGGTCACTACCCGTTCGAACCCCCACCCCCACCCCCAGAAAACCGGGGGGGTCACTACCGGTTCGACCCCCCCCCTCCAGAAAACGGGGGAGGGTCACTACCCCTGTCCCCACTATCGTCCCCACTGTCCCTACCAGTGCCCCACCACTGTCGCACTGTCCCCTACTGTCCCCACCACTGTTCCGACCACGGTCCCACTCTCCCCACTTTCCCCACGGCCCCAACCACTGTCCCACTGTCCCCACTGCCCCACTGTCCCACTGTCCCCGCCGCTGTCCCACTGAGCTGTCCCACTGTTCCCACCACTGTCTCCACTGTCCCCACGACTGTCCCCACTGAACCTCTGTCCCATTGTCCCACCGCCGTCCTCGCCACCGCCCTCACCACTGTCCCCACCACCACTGTACCATCCACTGTCCCAGTGTTTTCACCACATTCCCACTGTCCCCACGCCACTGTCTCCACCACCACCG